ATTATTTTCCATAATGTAATGATAAAAATGAAACTTTCATATATTTCAGATTCATTGCACACCAACTGAAATATTTCAGGTCTTTAATTGTTTTAATACTGATGATTATGGCATACAGCTCATGAAAATAAATATAATATAATAAATATAAATTATAAATATATAAATATATATTTATATTATATAAATATAATATAAATATAAATAATATAAATATAAATGTGTATATATATATATATATATATACACATTTATATACATAAATATTTGTCACTTCTGGGTCAGAACACATGTTTAGATAATTTACAACAATCAGAAAAGCTACATTTAAGACTCGACAGGCTTTAATTAGCACATTTGTTGTAAAGTTAATGGAAGTACAAAATAAAAAAGAGAGAGAGAGCAGCTTGTTTTTGAAGGGTTGTAAGAAAAAAGTAATTTTTTTCCACTATAAAGACAAAACCAAATTCAGAAGAGTGTAAAAGCAGCATTTGAACAAACCACAGACTGTTACAAATAATTTTATCGAGGTGGGAGACAATGCACCATATCCGCACTAACCCGTCTTGCTGAATGCCACAAGCTGTGGTGAAGGTGTGCTTCTGGCTTGCAGCTGCAGAAAGTCAGCTTATTGCACCCCTGATTCAACGCTGATTAACTTATCTTCAAGTGAAATTGTGTGAGGTGGAGGCTGAAACTGTCCGATAGCAGGATAGTTGGGTCAACCACAGCAGCATATCTGCACCAAAATGACTGAAACTGGATGTGCATTACCTCACACAGTCTGTTCAATAACGCCAAGTCACAACAGAGGTCGTCTCAGGGCACTGAGCAGAAACATTTTATATACATACAAAAGTCAGTAAGTAAAAGTTCTCCATTTTATTTTATTTATTGTTTATTTGACAGGAGCCGGTACAAGAAACATAGATCAAAACATCTAATGCCTGCATCACAGTGTATTTAGCCAAAGCTAATTCTCAACACCCGTCCCTAGAAGGACCTTTAACAGTCGGTTAAATGAAAAGTTAAGATCAACAGTAAATACAATAAAATTATGAAAAAGAAATATGATACAATGTATTTAAAACTACTCAGTTAAAGCAATTACAATATTTAAAAATTAGTACAATTCTGGTTCATCTTTAGCCAATTCCAATCTGATCTAATCAGGAATCAGCAGATTGTGTTGAATCTTCACTTCATCACAGTCTCCCATCCTGAGCAAGCACAAAGGAGACAGTGGAAAGAAAAAACTCCCTTTTAACAGGAAGAAACCTCCATCAGAACCAGGCTCAGGACGAGCGACCATCTGCTTCAACCAGTTGGGTTTGAGAGGACAGGAAGGAGAAATGGACACAGAATGACAGGTGCAGGACCAGGTATAGGTGCAGGTGTAGAATCAGGTGTAGGTGCAGGTGTAGGACCAGGTCTAGGTACAGGTGTAGGTGCAGGTGTAGGATCACATGTAGGTGCAGGTGTAGGACCAGGTGCAGGTGCAGGTGTAGGTGCAGGTGTAGAATCAGGTGCAGGTGTAGGACCAGGTGTAGGTGCAGGTGCAGGTGTAGGACCAGGTGTAGAATCAGGTGTAGGACCAGGTGTAGGTGTAGGACCAGGTGTAGG